ATCCAGAAGAGGTAGCTGACAGAATGGTATGAAGGACAGGTCAATTTTGAAGAAGGAAAAAGGAACCCAGGAGTGTGGCACACGTCTATAATCCCTACTACCGAGGGAGACTGAGGCTGCTGTAGCATTTGAGTTTGTGAGTATTGAGCTAGAGTAGCCAATTGGGTATCCGCAGTGAATCTAGCACAGATATGATGGGCTTACTCTCATGAGCAGAGGGGCTCCAGAATGCTTAAGAAAGAGTGACCCTGCCTGGGTCAAGAGATGTGCTGATTAGTATGGGAATTGGGCTCGGGAGAGGTCATTACGCTTCCAGACTAGGCAAGACCGGAAGATCCGGTTTCAAAAAAGCATAAATTAAAAAAAAAAAAACCACGTAGAACATGGAGCACTGTCCCAGAGGGCAGGCCTTGTTGAGGCACATGGAGCTTAAGATGAAGGACAAGATAAGGTTATTGTGCTTGGGAAGGGCATCATAATGTCATATATGGGGGCAAGGGAAGAGAAACAGAGATAAACTCCTGAATTCAGAACTTTGCCTTGAGTATGCTGTGATTAGGCAAAAGTTACAAAATCAAGGCTATCCACCCCCTTTTACTTGGAGAAGGTGTTTCCACTTGCTTTTTGTCTTTTTTTTTTAAATCCATCATTTGCATGGTGCCCTGTTTCTACTGGTAAAAACTAATTGAAAATGTAATGGTTGCATCTATGTTCTTTGAACTCAACCGAGTTGTTGAGTTCAAAGAACTCAATCAAAGAATTAGAAATAACAATGTATAGAACCTGTATTGTGTACCCACAGGGCAAAGAATTACTGTTTTGCCTTTCAGAAATGGAATAATCATCTGAAGGAGACTTAGTGGACCTTTAAAAATAGTAGTTCTTATTAGGTTCACACAATTCAAAATTCCACAGAAAGAATGTATAAGTAAAATGCTGCCAAAGCCATCATCACGGAGACAAGCCCAAAGAACATTCCTTCTTTAGGAATCCAGGGACTTTCATCTTTGTTATAACACTTGCTTCAATAGAATCATTTTTAAGGTGGAATTAAGGCCGTTCTTTGCAGCCAGTAATATTTAACCTAAGTGTGCTTGGTGGGGGGATATGTCTTTATAGGTTTGCTTCCTATTTTCTATGGTCCTACACCATTGCAGTAAACTTGTTTTGAGATATTTAATTGAGAATTCATTCTTATGTTATCTCAGTGCCTTTAAGAGTTCTTTCTCCTGGTTGTTTCTAAAGTGATATGTTCTACTAGACTTTATCATCAGTGAATTTGAGAGATTACCTTCAGTTTAGAGAAATGAGGAAAATGAAGCCCAGCTAGGTGGCACTATGGAGAAAGCACTGAACCTTGAATCAGGAAGACGAGCTTCAAATCAGAAGCAGGGTCCTTTTGACTCTGGGCAAGTCACTTACTCCCTGCCTGCCTCAATTTCCTCACCTGTGAGATGAGAATAATAATAGCCCCTAGCTCCTATGGGTGTTGGGAGGATAAGATGAGATAATATTTGTAAAGTATTTTGCAAACTTTAAAGCACTACATAAATGCTAACTAGTATTGGCAAATGATATGTCATCAATCACAAGCTAGGTAGAGACATCAATTCAATTCATAAGATTTTGTAGTGGAAGAGATATTAGAGGCCATCTAGGTCAGACTTCTCATTATACCTCAGGAGGCAGCTGAGGTGGTATCTCCTTCAAGGTCACAAAGGGAGTATTGGCATCCAAGTCAAGCATGTTCTTTGACTCCAAATCTGAAGTTCACTTTATTGCCTTCTGTTTAAAATTTACCTATTAATGGCCATTGTTAATAGCCATTAAATGACCAAGTTAGGAGCCGGGGATACAACAACAAAAATGAAAGTAGTTCCTGCCCAACCTGAAATTCTGGGGGATTGTGGAAGAGGGAAGGAAACAACATATACACCAATGAATAAATTTCTCTCTGTCTCTCTCCCCCTCTCTGTATAATTACTACAAAATAAATGGGGGGGGGTGCACGTTAATAACTGCGAGGACCAGGAAAAACTTTGTAGAGGAGATGACTCTTAGGCTGACTAGAGCTATGTATTCCAAAAGGTGGAATTGAGGGGGAAAGTCTTTCAGGCTTAGGAGATTGCCTATATAAAAGTGCAGAGGTGGAATGTGGAATATCCAGTATAGCAAAAAGCAAGCACACCAGGAATGCGAGAATCTGAGTCTCCTGGCTCCCAACCTAGGAAATTCTACTAATCATACCACTGACCTGCTTTTTAACCTAATTTACAGATGGCTAGATAAGTGGTATATGGGGCAGCTAGGTGGTGCAGTGGGTAGAGCACTGGACCTGGAGCCAGGAAGATCTGAGTTTAGACACATACTAGCTGTGTGACCCTGGGAAAGTAACTTAACCCCTATTTGCTTTAGTTCCATAAAATCCATTAAATGGGAACACACTGGAGAAGGAAATAGCAAACCGCTCTAGTATCTTTGTCAGAAAAATCAAGAAAGACCTTAGTCATCAAAGAGACTTTAAATGGAATTAAGCAATTTCATAAGGGTGACTCAGTGTACTAAGTTAAGGTAGGTGAAGGGTAAAATGACATAAGACACAGGTGTGTATTTGCCTTAAAGAAAACTACCTAGCTTGTGACAGATGACATATCATTTGCCAATACTAGTTAGCATTTATGCAGTGCTTTAAAAGTTTGCAAAATACTTTACAAATATTATCTCATCTTATCCTCCCAACACCCGTAGGAGCTAGGGGCTATTATTATTCTCATCTCACAGGTGAGGAAATTGAGGCAGGCAGGGAGTAAGTGACTTGCCCAGGGTCAAAAGGACCCTGCTTCTGATTTGAAGCTCATCTTCCTGATTCAAGGTTCAGTGCTTTCTCCATAGTGCTACCTAGCTGGGCTTCATTTTTGTATAAACCAGTATACAAGATTAGATAATCTGATTTCTAATTGTAGAAAAGATGATTGATTTTCCAAATTGGGAGGGGGAAAGAGTGAGTTTTTGTTGAATTGGGAAGGAGAGAGCAAGGTTTGAGGTCTTTCCTGTCCCAGGATTGGAAGATACTGATTAATTGCATCCACTGGAATTTTATGAAACAATAGACAGCTTATACCATCTATTTCCTCATGAGTGATTTGTAGAACAACAAGATGGAGGAAAATACATCAATATTCATGAGATGGAATCTGATTGGTTCTCTTGATTCTCACATCAAACCAACTCCATTTTGTAACATGCCTTCATTCTACTTCCTCATTAGGTTCTAGTCCTGTTCTGGATATATTGGCTTTATGACTCTGGGCAACTCAACTTCCCAGAGCTCTCTAGCCCAGTAGCATCAAACTCAAATAGAAATGAGGGTCCAACATATTCATATATTCCTTTTTAAATTAATTAATTTTGTTACATATTTCCCAATTATGTTTTAATCTGGCTCCTGTCTCACTGTGGAATGCTGTGGGCCATATGCTGGGGTCCTACTCCCCTCTTTGTTTGATATCTCTGCTCTAAGCCAATCCTAAGATTCTGAGTTGCTGAGAAGTTATGCAGACCTGTATTGGTAGAGTGAGTTTCCTCCTTAGGCATTTCTGTGTATCAGTGAAATCACAGATCTGTTGCCTATCCCTACTGTTATGGAACTTTTACTGTAGAGAAGCAATAAGCACATTATGGTGGAGAGCACTGGATTCAAGTCCTGGCTCTCAAGCTAACATTGATTTACCCCATGCAAAGCTGCTTTATTTCTCTTCCTCATTTGTAAAATAGAGTGGTTGGACTAAATGCCTTTAGAGTCCCTCGTGACTCTAAAGTTCTATAAATCTATAGGAAAATATCTTTTTCTTCTTAAATTGTCAGCTCAGAAGAATAATTCTTTGAAGTCTGAGTGCTTCTTCATCTACAAATGTAGTCACAATGAACTTTAAATATTTTTTCAACCGACTAAAGATTAAGGTAAATGCAGTGTCCTGAATCAGCATATTTCAAATTATAGCTTTTGTTCACATTTGGCAACTTTCATCCCATGAAGTCCCTTCATTTTCCTTTCTGGGGTGGGAATAATGCCAGCCAAGAATATATAATGCCTTTTATTGGAACAGATCTGAATGTGCTTTACACAAACTCGCTCCTGGCTGTTGGATGGCTCAGTAGCTTTCTGTTTTCTGTGTGACATGTCTTATTCATATACATGTTTCACTGGTCACTTAGTGCGGAATGGGGAAATGATCTTGGCCCTTTCGTACATGTGGTATTTTTTAACTACAAAAATAAACTATAACCCCAAATAGCTCATTTAAGTGCCACCTGCATCTCTCACTTTACATTAAGGAACTGTTTACACCAACAAATAACCAAATGCAGATTGAAATAATGTGTTCCAAATAGGAAAGTTGCATGGGATAGAAGGATATCATCTTTTGTGAAAAAGCTACACTGTAAGTTGCCTCCTAACACTGTGTGCAGGTTCAACTTTGAACTATGACTTTCAGTTAATAGAAGAGGCTGAAAATATTTTACATACCAATCAGTGCTCAACCTAGCATAAGACATAGAGCAGTAATTATTACTCCGGACACCAAATTTACCCACCAAAATCATATATGTCAGCGTCAGGAGGAAATAGAATTAGGGAAATTTAATTTTTAAAATAATCCTTTAGAAAATAAGCATACTTTAGTTGTTTTGTAGTTCAAGGCACAGATGATACTTATTCAATCAAGATTGTTAATTATTAACCCAGAAAGCTAACTCACATGTAAGGGTGACTCTAATAATTAATTGTGTTTCAAAGGGAAAGAAGACATTATTGATCACCTCTTATCAAAAGGCATAGCTTTCTGATGCCAATTTAGGAGGATTTTCAAAACATTAGCATAGTCAATTAAGGCTTTCCAATGAGAAGAAACTCGACTTCACATTCAACTTAAATGTGATTGCTTTCAAACAGAGCCAGCCCAAACATGTCAACACAATATAAGTATAGAGGTACTTACAAATCAAAGACTAAGTAATGAAACCCCTCTTCAGATATGCTGTCATGGAGTCGCACTGTCAGGAAGAAAAGAAGAAAGAGACTTACCGTTACTTGTCAATGAGACCATTATTACTGCAAGTGAGAAATCAACTTTGCCTCTTCCTTTTCCTTCACGCCATGTAATTAATCTGTTACCAACTTGATGACTCTTTGTTTGAAATGCCCCTCCCCCACACCACCCCCAATTTGCCTCTATTTTTACCATCCCCACCATAATGATGCAAGTCTAGGCCATCATCACGTCGCAATTGGATTATTATAATAGCTTTCTAACTAGGAAGCAACCTCTTCAATCTGCTGTTTTAATCTATCTTCATACCACCACCATTTTACTTTTCCTGAAACATTTTGTTCATCTCATTCCCTACTGAAGAATGATCATTTGCCATTGACATCTGTGTAAAGTCTATAGCACTGTGCCTGGTTTTGAAGGTCTTGTCACACAGTCTGTTCCTAGCTGATCCAATTGATATCTCACTATCTCAATGCAGTTCAATACAATGATCATTTATCCAGCAACTACTAGGTGCCAGGTAATGTTCTAGGTCCTAGGAATAGAAAGACAAAGGCAAAATCTTCTGTATATGCAAGTAGCTTACATTGTGTTGGGCACACAATATTTTCATAAATAAATACAAAGTAGATGGGGGAGAAAAGGAATAAGCATTTATTATGTACTTATTATGTACCAGGTACTATGCTAAGTGCTTTGTAAATATTATCTCATTGGATTCTCACAATAACTTTCTAAGATAGGTGCTATTATTACACTCATTTTATATTGAGGAAATGGAGGCAGACAGAGGTTAAGTGACTTATTCAGGATCACACACCTAGGAAATACATGAGGCTGCATTTGAACTCAGTTCTTTCTGATTCCAGGCCCAATACTCTATCCCAGGAGGGGGGAAACTGTGGCCTTGAGGCCCCATGTGGCCTTCTAGGTCCTTGGATGTGGCCTTTTGAGTGAATTCAAGTTTCACAGAACAAATCCTTTTATTAAGGGGATTGAGTCTATCCACTGTACCACAAAGTTGCCTTTTAAAATGAATTAGAAAATATAGAATATATTTAGAATATAGAGTGAGTAATATATAGGAATATAGAGTGAGTAAGAGCACTAACAATCAGAAAAATCGAGAAAGACCTCTTGTGCCTCCTATACGGTAGGCACTGTGCTGCGCATTTCACAAATATTATCACATTTGGTCCTCATAATAACCCTGTGAAGTAAGAGCTAAGTGACACTTATTTCTTAATAGAAAACAATAATTAGGCCCTTGTTTGAAAATGTATAGATGAGGGTTATTATCAGCATCTTAAAGTGATGGTAGGTCAGTTTTTCTGCCTTTTTACAATTGATATATCAAGTTAATGTCTAGAACAGAGCTGAGTATTTAGTCATCAAAGAGACATTTAAATGGAATTAAACAATTTCATAAGGGTGACTCAGTGTACTAAGTTAAGGTAGGTGAAGGGTAAAATGACATAAGATACAGGTGTGTATTTGCCTTAAGGAAAACTAAACTAAGAAATTCTAGGCTTCTAAAATAGATGAATATTCCCTTTACAAAAGATTTACTCCAAAAGTCTTTTAACTAATATTATATTACAAAAATCATACTTCTGTCCAACTCAGGGACATACCTACTTGATGGTTAAATAACTTGCTCAAGTTCAAATAGGCAGATCTTTCATTTGGAGAGCCTATTCTCTGTGGTTTAGAATTTGGATCTGGTTGGGTTAAAGGTATTGTCAATATTGTTTGTCCTTCATTTTCGAAGTGGACCAAAAACATCAGGAAGTGATTTCTTGATTTCACATGAACTGGATTTATTTTCTTCAGTATTTTTTTTTTTTGGAGTCTCTTTTTGCAAGCTGTTGACTTGTTTTTCGTGATTATCTTGCATCACTCTCAGTTTTTCCTCTACTTCTCTTACTTGCTTCTCAAAATCCTTTTTGAGCTCTGCCATGGCCTGGGACCAATTTATATTTTTCTCGGAGGCTTTGGATGTAGGAACTTTGACTTTGTTATCTTCTTCTGGTTGTATGTTTTGATCTTCTTTGTCACCAAAGTAAGATTCTATGGTCTGACTCTTTTTGCACTGCTTGCTCATGATCCCAGCCAATTACTTGAGTTATAAACTCTTTATTAAGGTAGGGGTCTGTTTCCAGTGTGGAGAATGTACTGTCCCAAGCTTCAGGGGTTTTGTGTAGCTGTTTTCAGAGATATTTCTAGGGACCTGTAAATTTTCAGTTCTTCCAAGGAGGTATGATCAAGCCTTTTCTGGACTGTGATCTGGTCTATGAGTGACCACAAGTACTCTCTTCTGTCTTGGAACTGTGAGGAGGATTTCCTCTCCACCACCACTAGAAGCCCCACCATGCCAGAGCTTCTCCTTGCCCCAGGACCACCACCCAGAACTGTGCTTGATCCAAGCACAGGCAAAGCAAGAGAATCCTGCCTCAGCACTGGCAAAGAGATCCCTGCAATCCCCCTCTGATCAGTCACTCGATTCCTCCTCAGTCGGTGGGCTGGAAGCTCAGGAGGCAGCCGCTGCCCTGGGGTCAAGCTCGGGGACTGAGGCTGACTGTACTTTTCTCTCTCACTGCAGACACAAACTTTTCCTACTGCCCTTCTAAGTTGTCTTTGGTGTTCATGGGTTGAGAAGTCTGGAAACCGCCTCAGCTGCCAGTGATTCAGTCCTCTGAGAACTGCTCCAGGTTCACTGAGGCCTATGCACCCACGCTGAACTGCGTTCCTCTCCTAGCCCGGTGTAATGTACCTTTCTGATCAACTATCCAGGTTGTCTTGAGCTGGAAATTTGTTTCACTCTGTCTTTATGTGGGTTGTGCTGCTTTAGAATTTGTTTAGAGCCATTTTTTACAGGTATTTGGAGGGTTCTGGGGGAGAGCTTAAGCAAGTCACTGCTTTCACTCAGCCCTCCACATTAATTGGATTTAAGTGAAGGAGAGTTGCACAAAGTTGTCTGCCTCACTGTCTCTTCCAGAGTTATCAAAGTCCAGTGGGAAGACAAAATCAGGACTTGTGATGGCTTAGGATGAAGTGGATGACCTTGGTGACTTTGATGTCTGACCAAGCTCTAAGCATTTCACAGTGCCTATTGAAGCTACTTTCATGGCTGTTGGAACAAATTGCTCTCCTCTACCCATTCGGCTGGAAGAAGTCTTTACATGCTTAGGGCAGACATCCCCCTAACTCACTGATTGGTTTGAGGCCTGTCAGTTACCCTCAACCTGGTTTAGCTCATCTGTCAAGACGGTTTTACCAGGGTGTGGCCACTACACTTGTTACAGCTTCTTAGAGCCACAGGTCAGAGTTGGGGGCCCTATTGGATACCAAAGGTGCATGAGCAGCCCTGAAAAGGCAAGCCCTCACACCAGAGGTGCTAGTCCTCCCCGAACACCCCACACATTCCTTCACAATGACAAAAATAACATTTACATAGGATTTTATAATTTACAGAGTGTTTTCCACTCAAAACCTTGTGAGGTAGGCAATGAGATTAAGATTTATACCCAACAATGATATCACAAACAAAGGCCAGATTTATGCTGTATGGCAATCCCATAATGGGCATTGAAATCCATGACCACATAGCTCTGTTGGAACGGAACCTTGAATCAAGGTCTTCTGGTTCAAATGTTCTTTTTACTATATCATGCTGCCTAAATTAACAACCAAATTAAGTGAATTCCTGTGCCTAACTCTTCATTCAACTTTAGAGCACAGCAATGCACCCTTAGGAATTGAACAGAGGCAAAAAAAATTATTTTCTTTATATCTGCCCTGATCCTCTTCCAGAGCTAGACTATTTGGGAATTGTTTTGTCCATAGTTAGCTTTGTGACTCTTTCCTACATATTTATAAAGTTGTATGTCATTCAAGGAATATATGAAGTGTGACCAACTACAATCAATGTGCCTGCTGCTTTTTATTTGGCACATGGAAGTTGATGAGTGGTCAGTTTTTAGTGAGATCAATGTCAACACAATATAAGTGTTGCAAATATAATGCAAATATATTTCAGGGCTGGGTTACACATAAGGTGTCATGAACATGTCACTGAAAATTAGTTTATTACCTTTATTCCTAGAAAGTTAACTGGTTAGGGAAGAGAAAACAGGACTAGGTTTAGGGTCCAGAATCAGACTAAGAAGGATACATCAACTAAGGGAGTCTGGGAAGCCAGAAAGCAACATGATGAAGTGAGAGAATGTACAAAAGGGAAGGTAAAAGGTCACCCAAACCCACATTTTTTCAATGTCTTGTTTCAATGTCTTTCAACTTGGAATAATAATATTTTCTAGGTTACTTGATCAGACTTTGACTAGAAGCTATGGTGAATATACCAGTTTAACAGTTACCACAGATGTCAATCAAATCATCAGTCTATTCTTGTCAGTTCAACAAGCACTTATTAAATACCTACTGCATGCCAGGCACTATGCTAAATTCTGGGAATAAAGAAAGGCAAAGAACAGTCCTTACTTTTGATGTTTTCATAGTTTAATGGTGGAGATGATGTGTAAACAACTGTGTATAAACATACAGGATAAACTGAAGCTAGTCTTAGAGGGAGGCATTAGAATTAAAGAGATTTAGGAAAGACTTCATGTAGAAAGGAGGATTTTAGCTGAGACTTCAAGGAAGCCTAAGAAGCCAGGAGTAAGAAACTGACTTAGCTAAGTGATTTTGTTATTCAAATTACCCAATCTATAATCCAGTCACTAAGTAGCCAAACACGCAAGTTTGCTTTAGCAAAATGTTTCCTATACAGTAGATACTTACCAAACATCTACTGAATTGAAGTGAATGGAATTAATCTAAATTTCTACAAGAGCTAGAATTTCAATATCTCTTACCAAGAAGAAATTCTATCAAAGTTGGTTTAAATTAGAAAGGTTCCTCCTGGGGGGAGGGGGACAAATAAAATGAAGTCCTCTCAGCTCTTAATTTGCATAATCAACATTTATCTTTGAGAATTACTAC